AATGAGCAAATATTATATTTTTGTTTATAATAAAAATTAAATTGTTTATATTTAGATATAATGATATAAATATGAACTATACTGCATACCATTTTATCAAGATTCTGAATAGATCTATGAATTGGACCACATGATCTATCATAATATGTGTAACGAAAACGTTGTCCCCAGTGACAAAAATCTGAAGAAATAACAAATAATGTTTGTGGATCAGCCATATATGGCGCTAACAATCTCCCATATAATGCTTCTCTTTCTGGACTTAATGATCCAACAAGTATAGGAATAATAGTAAAAGAATCTTTGAACCTATATTAATAGGAAAAAAGATTAAAATTGTACACAACGTAAGTGAAGTATAATTACTATAATTAGCCTACCCTTCCATAACTTTTGATATGAATGGTAATTGCATTTCAATACTGTGTTCTTCTTCATCTGTATTTAAATCCATCCATTCAAAATGTCTAGTTTCTTCAAGTTCTCTGCATACTATCATATGAACAGAAACCTATATTTGAACTAATCTTTGATAGTAATTCATACTTATATATGTTTTTTACATTATACTTCATTGTTTTAAAAAGATTCCATCCAAAAATCTATTTTAATATTCTGTAGTGTACAATTTATACCTTGTTGATCAATATGCAGATCATACAGTGGTGTTTGATAAATTGAAGCAGAAGAAAGAGCACAACCAGCTAATCTCACATGATGTGATGGGCCCAGAATAAATATCCTACGACTATATGATGATACATTACATATTTAAGATTTTAAATTAAATGAATGTAATATACTATTATATTTATGATAGTAGGTCATTTTCATTGAATAATATGTTAAAGTGTCAAAATATCATATATAAATATTAAATGAATAATTGGATTGAATTATAGACCATTTTTACTGCAAGTAGCAGGAACTTACTTGTATTTATGAAACATAATTATTAATAATCAGAAAGAGTAGATTAAAACAAATCTTTTGAAATTGAGACATACTCAAAGATAGGTGTTTGACTAATTTGCACATAATATTGCAATTAAAACAAAATCTTCATTATAT